CATTCTATCGCGATATTTCATTTTCCTATCGTTGCCTAACATTATACCGGTATTACCGTGAACGGTATAATATGGCCCAGCCCTAGTAGAAAGGCCCGGGTCAGATGGTGGAAGAAGAAATATGTATTTCTAATTTGAACGGCCTTATAAATGCGCCAGTGCTGACCCCTCAGTTTGGGAAACTTGAGCGTTAGCACATTACCATTAAGATGAAGAGCTCACAACACATAAAAATGGACTGGTTTTCTACTCTGCCAGAGCACTCAAAGATCTTTATACAACATGCACCATTCACGAGTCTGTCAGAGAGCAACTCAGGGTTACTATCTTACCCAAGTATGCAGGCTGGAGCAGCCAGGAATTGAACCACCTTCTAAACAGTAGATGACCTCCTCTCCTCCTGAACTACAGCCAGTCAGCATGATAAAGGGCCATCCACCCATCCACCCATTCACTTTCCTTTATCCAGCTGAAGTGTGCTGGGCTGCTGAAGCCTCCCAGCAGGATGAACCCTAGATCTGATCTGATGCTACATAACCATAACATGATAACATGGTTTCTACAGTCTCCTCTGTAGACTGAAAACAATAAAGAGACTTTTTCTACTTTTTCCTCAAACATGATCAGGGTTACTTCCTTTCATCCATCATCCATCCATTACAGGGGACTAGAATCAGTGGCAGCATTCTCTGAGGTAGGATTACCTGCCAGAAGTCAAAGCACGACAGTTGTGTCCAATTCTGGGTGGTTTTTGACCGATCTTTGACTTTTAATGCTCACATCAAGTCTCTGGGCCGCTCTCGTTTTTTCCATTTAAGAATTATTGCTAAACTCAGGACGCTGTCTCCGAGAGCAAACCGGACATGCTTGTGCACGCTGCCTCCAATCTTTGTGTCAAAGTGCTGCTCTGAGGCTTTCACTGCCTGTTTTCTGTCCTCCACTCAGCTGGGCACCGAATGAACCAATAGCTGGTGTTCTGTTGACCAGCCTCCGCCGTTTGTGACTCATTAACTCTGTGCAGTCATACGACTTCAGGCTGCTATCAGATCATATCCTGATTTCTCAAGGACTGTCCCCCCATAATGATTGACTTTAGTCAGGGCAGATGTGTCAGAACAGCCAGTCGAGGCCATTGCAACATCCGGAGAGTGGACGACGACACAAAGTGGATATGTGCTGTGGACTTCGTTAACCTAATTGGGATTTTGGAGAGGCACTTTCACAGCCTGACGTGACCATCACGTATGTCTTCACATGTTTGAGAAGTGCACACACACAGAGATCATACTGTAACTCACTCCACAGAACACCTTTTATTTCAAAAGTCAATAAAAACAGTAACAATAAGACTTTACTACAGTTCAGACTTCTTTTCCTACCATGTTTAAGCAGCAGTGGAACAACTTTGGTGATACACAGACATAAACATACAAAGATAACTTAAATACATGACTTTTTTAAATACTTTGGCTGATTATCTAAATATTCACAGGTGCCCGTGACGCTCACGGTGAAGCCACGTGGAAGGCACTGACATCTTCAAACACATTCGCAGACAGCCACATTTACACAAGTACATCAGGGCTTTTCATAAGTCTGTTACAGGGAGCAAAATTCAAGTTGTGACAAACGTTGGACAGACATGCTTTAAAGTGCTTCCTGTGATCTAAAGAAGATCGGGTGTCTCTCAGATGGAAAACAAGCAAACAAACCAGATGTGCCTGTTTGTAACAGAAACACTGTTAACCTGCCTGATTGGCTCTGGATGCTTGCTCTGGCGGCCGTGGACAGTTTGCTCATACAGCCCCACATGAAGCAATGTCTGATGTCACAAGAACACACTGCGTTTAAACAAAAGACGTTAAAATACAGGAATCAGGAGCACAGCGATCCAGAGCAGATCAAACACAGGAGATACGTTTCCTGGTAGGCTAGCAGTGCAAACATACACATGTATCGTGTGTGTGTGTGTGTGTGTGTGTGTGTGTGTGTGTGTGTGTGTGTGTGTGTGTGTGTGT